TGAAGAGCGCGCAGAGGCCGGGGCGGAGCAAGGGCCGCCATCGGGAATCGCTCTGGGCTTCTCTTCCCGACCGTGCAGGGCGCTGCTGCCGGCTCGACTCGGGCTCGGTGTCGTCCCCGCTCGTTCCAGACAGCGCCGGGCACAGGCGGCAGGGATGGGAGTGGAAGGGACCGCTACCGGGCGTTGACGGAACTTCCCAGGAGACGGAGCTCCGGACGCCGCAGCACTCCGGCCAAGTGCCGCAGAAACTTCCCTTTCTCTGTATTTTTTCTCGTCCCGCCCCTCCCCACCAGGCCCTGCCCGGCCAGCATCGTGCTCTTAATCTGTATTTCAAATAGTTTAATTTTAAAAATATTCTATTCAGTGCTAAAATAACTTTCCACTTCCACGCGTGGCCGCACCTTCGGCTTCACCAGGTTCGATCACGGACTCGGCGGGACATGCAGTGGCGGCGGGGGGATAGTGGGGATGGGGCGGGTAGCGGGTATTGGGGGSCAGCAGAGCCCCAGGGTGGGAGCGCTTCCCGGGGGCTACAGCACCCTGCTGCTTCCTTCCTCGTCCCGGGGATAGCGGGTACCTAGGCCRGAGCAACGAGTCCCAGCACAGGACAGCAGCTCCCCTGCTCTGCCAGCTCCTGGGGGACTGAAGTCAGATCCCGCCGGGCTGGAGCTGTGCCCCGCGGCAGAGCCGAGGCCGGCCAGTACCTGCCCTCCGGGAGGGGAAAGCACTCCCCTCTCTCCCAGCATGAATGGCTTAAACTAGCAGCTTATTGCACAGCATCCCAATGGGTCCCTGCTGGCCTCCCCTCACTGCCTCCTGCACCCACCACCACCTGCTCCCACAACCGAGTGCACACATCATCTGAAGCAGGTGGAAGTTGGCTCTCCTGGTCCCAGCACCCAGGACAAGGGCAGGCAGGGGAGCCACAAGCAGGCAAACATCTGCCAGTGTCCAGGGGACCATGGAGAGCAGGGAGCCCCGTGGAGAACCCCCCCACACATGCACCCCACCCAGCAGAGACCCCCAGCTCTCAGGGCAGGGAGCAGGGAGAGAGGGAGCCAATAAATAGAGGCAATTGCAGGTACTGGCAGCAGCCCCATCCATCAGGCAGGGCAGGGCAGGGAAGGGCGCGCTGGATGCGAGTGGTGGGAGCCCTGACACTGGGGAAGGGGCAGCTGGAGGGAAGCGCTGGTCCCGAGGGGCCAGGCGGCTCTGCGAGGGGCTGGCGAAGGCGCCGGACCAGGCAGGTTAGCTCTCCGAGGCCGTGTGGCACACAGAGTTCTGGTCAGCACAAAATCTCTTCAGAGGCGGCGCACTGGAGTCCTCCTCCTCTTCAGTTACCTGTAAGAGCCAGAGATCATGGGCAGTGACACTGAGTAACACACACCTAGACAAAGCTGTGTCACACCACGGGAACACCCCACGCTGTCACCTGTGCACAGACCCCAGGGCACCAGGAATGGGAACCCACTCCAGCCCTGGAGCCTGCCAGAACTGTCATTTTCCCACACCCTCACATCCTTCCCTCATGCTTCAATGCWAGATCCGAACCAGGGGACAGCTCASRAAGCCAGAAGGTTCTGGGAGCTCCCAGGGGGCACTTTGGGACTGCAGAGCAAGTCCATGCACCAAGATGTTTCTGCTACAAAGAACAGCAGTGAGGCTGAAAGGGCCAAGCACATTTAGAGGTGGTTTAAATCCCCCTTCCTTTACCTGAGTCTCAAGGGGAACTGGCTCTTCCTTTGTGAGAGTGGGAGGCTCATCTGCCACTTCTGAAGAAGGCAGGGAGGGCTCTGGGGAGAACAGGTGTGTCAACAAAAATACAGATCCAATACTCAGCTCAATGCTGAGCCATCCAGCAAAAGAAGTCCCCACTCCCCTGTCAGCTTCCAGCAGCGCCAAGGTCACCACCAGACCACCAATAGCTCTGTCAGGGCCTTCCATGCTCCCATCCATCTGCCTACTCCCTTCACAGCCCAGCACCCACCTTCCAGGGTCTCCTGCCCCAGGGTGGGAGGCTGCGAGTCGTCTGTGCGGAAGTCGGATGTGTGGGCAGGACTCATGGACTCGCTCTGCTGGGGACTGGGGCTGGAGTTRGGGCTGCTGTCCACCTTGAGCTGGTACACGTCAGACAGGGAACTCTGGTTGCTGTTCTCATCTGCAGAAACAGCACCTGGTGAAGAAGAGCACCTTGACCCAGGGGCACAGGTAGCCAAGGCAGCACTGTGAGCTGGGGTCTTGCTGAGAAGGCAGAGCAAAGTCAGAGAAGTTAAATGGGATTCAATGTCCCACGTAAGCCCAAGGGCTGTCAGGCACAGGACTGTCCACCGTAACACTGTGGGAATCACATACCCAACTGGCCATGGGAGAGGGAATGCTTCTACCCAGGAAATGAGAACGAGCAATGCCAAAACCCCCATCTGCAGCCTGGGAGGGCCCAGAGCATCTGAGGGCAGGAATCTCCTGCTGTGTAGCAGGGCTTTGTTACTCCTTTATTTGTCAGGCAACACCAGGATCAGTGCTCAGTGCCTGCCACCCAATAACGACGCAGGCCTAGAACACACCTTCCCAAACTGCAGACCTGAAATATAACATCACCACATCTCCTCAAAGTGCCACCACATTCCTGATTTTCCTTAACCACACAAAGAGTGGAGGCTGGGCACAGGTGTACACTCTGCTCCAGTACAACCTCTCCTGGCTGTATCACAGTGCCCTGACCAAGAGCAATGCCAAGCACATCCTTTGCCCCTTCATCCTAAGGTCCATGGAAGTAACTGTTGGAATAGCAAGCTTGGCTGCATGTGGCTACTGGCCTCTCCCCAGCAGAGGCTGAAAAAGGGAGAGCAGGAATTCCTAATCCTTCAGTTTCCTGTGAAGTTTTTCACAGAAGATGCCAGAAAGAGCCCATTAAGACTCTGACAGCAAAAACGACCAGTTTGGGCAAGGACAATCCAGAAGTGGATCAGTTCAACTCCACACTGGAGACAAGCACTGCTCTTCCCAATCCAGGCAGCACACAGAACCAGCAACGTCCTAACTACTGTACAGCCTTGCAGTCTTTCCCCATGTTGAAAGGAGCGCAGCCAGACCAACCTTGGAACTCCAGAAGGAGGGAGGAGTTGGCAGAGGTGTCAGCTGGGAAGCCATTGGGTTCTCGGGTGGTGGTGCTGCTCGATTTGGATTTCTCTTTCTTGAGGAGACAAAAAGCACAAACATGAGGTCAGAGGAACAAAGGCTCCTCTAGAGGAGACATTCCCCATTCTGTCTGCAGAAGCCCCAACAGGTGTGCTTGAGCTGGCCTTTTCCTTTGGCTTTGGGGGCGCTTTTCTAAGTAAGAGGAATAATTCCATCTGTGAAGAGACTGGGAATCAGGAAAGAGAGGAGGAGCTGACACCCATCTAGGAATGACACCAAGTAAATCAAGTCCTCAGAGGAGTCAGGCAGAGAGTCTTACGAGGGAGTGGGAGGGGGCTCAAAGGAGCTCAGAGGGCTTGGCAGGGACATAATAGTTCTGTGGGGGTTCAGGTCGGTTGAGAGGCTCCTTGGGGCTGTGGGTGGAGCCCAAAAGGGCTCGACAGGGGCTCGCAGGGCTTCAGAAGGGGCTCAGTAGGGCTTGGGTGGGTTGGGGGTCAGCCTGGGGAGGTTTCAGGGGCTCGGTGGGGCCTCAGGGGAGCTCGGCAGGGCTGAGGAGCTCAACGGGGCTCGGATGTCGGCTCGGCTCGGGCTCAGGGGCGGACTCGGAAGGGACTCGGAGGGTTTGGTGGCGTTCGGCGGAGCTGGAGGACTCGGGGATGGGTCGGGGCGTTTCAGTGGTCGGTGGGGTTGGGGGGACTCGGCAGAGCTGGGTTGGGGGAGGCTCGGGGTCAGCTTAAGGGGGTTTGTTAACGGGGCAAGGCTGGGCTGTGCGCGGTRGCTCCCGGCTCGTCTGCACGCACAATACCCACCTCCTTACTGTCCGCCACCGGCACCCACTTGAATATCCGCAGGGATGTGTCGCCCACCGTCACCCACTTCTTCTCCCTGCGGGACAGAACGCTGACAGGCCGGGCCGGGCCGGGCCGGGCCGGGGGCGCCATGGCAACAAACCCCGCCCGCCCGCCGCGCTCCGGTTGGCCCCGAGGAACGTCAATTCAGCATTAAGCGGCATTGCCCCGCCCAGCCACGCTGTGATTGGCCGCACCAACCGCCCATCAMGGGCGCTTCCGTCCCCGCCCCACTCCTATTGGCCCCCGCCCCCCGCCCCCGCCCGCTGGTTGGGCGCGCACTCCAGGGTCGCTCCCCGCGGCGCGGTGATTGGCTGCGCGCGGGCGGCGGGCCCTCCCCCCCGCGGGCCCGCCCTCACCATCTGCGGACGCGCTCGATGGCTGCCATCACCTTCTTGATGTCATCCTTGGCACGGCTGCGGGTCTCGGCCCGCACCGAGCGCCCCGACATGGCGCGCGCAGCCCCACAGCACCGGCCCCGCCGCACCCGCCGCCGTGCCCGGCCCCGCGCACGCGCCCTGCGCGGCCCGCCCGCGCGCTGCGCGTCCTGCGTCACCGCGCCGGACACGCCCGGCTGCTGCGCCTGCGCGGGCGGCCACGCCCCACTGCGGGCACGGAAACGACGCGCAGCCAATGGGACGCGGCGCCGCCATTTGCCTTTAGGGCACGTTCCGCTCCAGGCACCCCCGACACCGCCATTCCCGGGRAACGGGGCCACCCGCGGCCGCTGCACTGTTACAGCACTACCCCGTCCCCTCCAGCACAATCCCCACCGTTTAGCATCGAAAACTGAGTTTGGGCAGCTGTCCTGGAAAAAAGAACGAACCCAAAAAACTACCCCAAATCGACAAAAATCCCGCCTTTAAACTCAGGAAACCCTGTAGTTGCTGTCTGAGCAATCAGTCCCATGGGATATTGATCCGAGCCCGTGGGAGGACACAACATAAGGATGTGGCASTCGGAGTCCCCACCATCTCCAGCCCTGTCCACCCCATCATAGAGCACGCAAGGAAGGACCCGGGCACTCTTTTATTACTGCTGTTCAGAGTTTTTWAAAAAAATATCCAAGGCAGAGTGCAGCTGCCTCATGCTCTGTGGGTAGCTTAGTGCTTCTTGCCATARATGGCAGCCAGCGCTTTGCGAGCACTGTCGATCTGCTGCTCCAGCCTCTCCCGTGTGGCCTTGTTCAGAGTTTTTTTCAGCATGGCCTCCATCTCCTCCACCACTGCACGGTGTCCGACAGTGTTGTGGAAAACACGGATGGCACGGTCCCCACAGGACACGAGGTAGCGGCCAGTGGTGTCAAAGGCAAGGTCAGCCACAGGCTGGCTGTGCACGCCGAGAAAACGTTCCTCCTCATCGCCACGCCGTGTGTTGTACATCACAATGTCTGTGCCACCTGCCACGGCAACCGCGCGGCCATCAGGGGACAGGGCAATGCGGCACGGCTCCACCACGGCACACTGTCCTGTCAGAAGCAGGTATGGGTCCTGCTGCTTCTTGTACTCCACATCTGTGTCCCAGAACTTCCATGTGCCGTCTTTTGACACGGTTGCCATCCTGCAGGCACAAGAGAGCAAGGTGAGTGCATGGAAAAGGTGTGGAACCTCTTCCCCTGCCCTGTCTGTGAGCCAGGAATCCTCTGTGGAGATCTTTTGAAAAGAGTGTCTGTACACATGTATACTCCCTGTTCTCTTTCCAGAGCAAGTAAACCTTCCACTAGGCTGCTCCAAGCCCCTTTGAACCTGGCCTTGAGCATTTCCAGARATGTAATAGCCACATCTTTTGTCAGCCTGTGTCAGGGCCTCACTATCCTCACAACCRAGACTTTCTTAACCAATATCCCATCTAACCCACTCTCCATCAGCCTGAAACCATTTCCCCTTATCTTGTCACTCCCATAAACAGTCTCTCTCCCACCTTTCTYGTCAGCCCCCTCCAGGTCCTGGAAAGCCAGTTAGGTCACCTGAAGCCTTCTCTGTTCCTGGCTGAGCAATCCCAATTCTCTCAGCTTTTCCTCTTAGCAGAGCTGCTCCATCCCTCTGTTYATCTTGGTGTCTCCTCTGACTTGCTCCAGCAGCTTGATGCCCTTCCTGTGCTGGGGCACCAGAGCTGGTGGCAGCTCTGCAGGTGGGGGTCTCACCTGAATGGGGCAGAATCCTCCCCTCCCCAGCTACCCTGCTCCCTGGACACTGGGATTAACCCAGGGCATGGGGAGTTTCTGGGCTGGGTCATGTCTGGCTCTCACTCATCAGCACCACCCAAGGCTTCTCCCCAAGCTGCCCTCAATCTGTTGATCCCCTGCCTGGATTGATACCARGGGTTGCCCTGATCCAGGTGCAGCATCAGCTCTTGCTCTTGTTAAACCACATGAGATTCCTATGGGCAGGGAATTCACAGGTGGCACGAGCCAGATTTGGCTCCCCAGGGCAGTTTTACTCTCCACAGCTCAGTGGTGCAGCYAGTGAACCCTGAAGGGGTGAGTTTCCACATCTTCTAACACACATGTACCTCCTTGAGTCATTGGAGAAGGAAAAGGATTGTACACCAGCAGTGTGGCCTTTCAACTCAAAAGCCCTGGTCACCTCCTTGAAGTTTCCGTTCTTGCCAAAACACACCTCCCACACCTTCACATCGGGRGTAAAGCCACAGGATGCCACAAACCTGCATGAAGGAACAAGCAGAGACATAGGTTGCCTCTTACACAAACCTGTCCTGACTCCAGCACTCAAGTCTGGTCAGATGAGTTTCCACTTTTCCCTGAAACCCGGAAAAATCCCTTACCGGATGGTAAAGAAAATACTAAGGAAGGGCACCAGAACAATTAAGGAATAAGAAACTCTCCAAAGGAAAAGATCTAGATGCTTTTGATCCCCAAACTCCTCACACCAGGAGCAAGGCAAGTCGCCCGCAGCAGCAAGTCAGAGGCAGAGCAAAGCACAAGATTTTCCCAATAAACAATCTCCCAGAAATAAAAAATTTAATTTTATGATTACCTTTAAGAGGTCACAGACAATTACAAAGGGCTGTTTTCTTTGCACAGGCCATTTTCTCTGTCCCATGTCTGCTATSTGAGGCTAAAGCTGTTCTCAGATTTCCAGAACAGCAGTGCTGAGGCAAGATGGCAACACACAAGGGCCTAAGCCCACATCAACTCCTGTCACTCACCTCCCACAGGGTGACACTGTGGCATAGGCATTGTTCATCTGGTTGGTGTTAATGCTGGCCAGAACTTCTCCCTTTGGGCTCCATAGCAGGATGGTAGTGTCACTGGAAGCTGTCATGATAAACTTCCCTGAGGAAAAAGGGCAAAGATCAGGAGAGGCCCCAGAYCTAACACTGCCACAGACTTAACGAAGCCCCAGGACAACCTCTCCCTGCAGCTGGAGAAAACCAACAGCAGCACCCAAATCCAAGGAGTGTCAGTCTCCTGGGACAGAGAAAAGAGCGGTATCAGAAGACTCACTCTGGTCATGCCTCAGTACTCCCCCAGCTCCCAAGTGAGCAGCAGGCACTGAGCCCATGTGTGCCCCACGTTCAGGACCCTGAGCCCCACGTGCAGAGCTTAGCACTGGGCTGTACCACAGCAGGAACAAAGCACACTCCACCCGCCCTGCACGCCCAAAACCAGCTCAAGGATAAACACTTTTCAAGCTGTGGATTACAGACAGGCAACTGAATCCCAGTCATACCACCATGATCCATGGTTGCTGGTTGTGTGCATGTTGGACTCCTGCTTGCTCCCCTTTCCCTTTTCCACCTCAGCCCAGGCAGGGAGTTGCCTGTTTACCTTCCAGCTACTTGTTGCAAGTTTTCACTTTCACAGCTGAACAAAGGTCTCAGTTAACAATTTCCCTGCTCTCCTATTACAGAGGTGAACTCACATCCACCTTCTTCCAACTGCCCACTGGCACATACCTGGTGCATTAATCCATCAAGCCTTCACCACTAAGACATAATTCCCACACCCTCCCCACACCCCCGCCTCTGTTCTAGATGATCCCAGAAGTTCAAGATAGACCATATGAACTCACTAGAGAGATTTCTGACTGGTTAAAGAGAGACTGGCAGGCCAGAGAACAGCGATCCTCTCAATATTGAGACCAGACCTCTTTGCAACAGCATCCCTGAAAATGTAAATTAAGAGACTGTGCATATCGGGGAGCTGGTTACAGGGACATAATCGGTCTGAAAATGACACCTTTTAGTTCAGTTGATAGGAAATTAAATTTAAAAAAAACTAAGAGACTACAGAGTTCAGTACTGGCGCTGTACACAGCCTTGAGAATGCCAAAAACTCCAACACTTTGAAACCGGTAGCTTCACAAGAAAATCAAAGCTGATGTGGAGAGATGAGCAGCTCATTTCCATACCTGTCTCTGCAATCCCTATGTTAATGACAGGAGCTTTATGCTTTTTTGGGAAGTCCTCAGAGGCTGCAGTGAAGGTAAAGCTACCATCATCTTTCTTGGTCATCCTGTAGACACGAATAGTCTCAGCACTGGCCAGCCAGACAATGAAAGCCCTGTGGAGGGACAGGCACTGAGCCCCAGCTCAGCCCAGGTCACKCAGGGGCACCTGGGAAGAGGGATACACCGGCAAGTGAAAGTATTTACAAGGGCGCTAAGTTCTGTCCCTATGCTGGTACAAYAGCAACACTGAATGAAAAAGAGTATTACCCACATGAGGAAATGAGATCCCTCCCTCTCTTTCTAAAAGAGGCCACTTCAAAAAGCCAAAGCATGCTTTTCCACCAAATTTCCCACCCAGCAAGAACTCCCCCAACCACCAGAGAAGCTCAGGAGCACATTCCAGCTGCAGAGCCAATTGGCAGAGATCTCAACAGGCACCTTCCATGGGTGCAGCAAGCTGGGAACTGGGATATTTTCCCTCAAAACCACATTAACCAACCAGGGGCTGGACTACATGATCTCCAGRGATCCCTTCCAACTCAATTATAGTGATTCTGTGATTAAGTGCCAGCTGCTTTCAGGAAAGGCCATGGATCAGTGATACCAGGCTGACCCAGTGAGGGATGCTGCCTCCACCCATCCCAGAGCAACAGGAAGCAACGGCTGTGTGTTTAGGCGGTTCTGCAGAACATCCCGGTGCCGGTACAGAGTCCGGCCGTACCGTGAGTCAGGGCTGAGGCGGACGAGCTCGGCGTGGTCCAGCCCCACGTTGGCGCGCARGCAGCGGTGCTCCCGCCCCGGCAGGTCCCGGGTGCTCCACAGCCGSACCGTGCGGTCCTCAGAGCACGACGCCAGGTACTTGCCGTTGCTGCTGAAGTCCAGGCAGGTGACGGRGCTGCTGTGGCCCTGCAGACAGAAAGTGGTCACGGAGGATGGGGCGGGGGAGACTCCAGTGGAACACCAGCACTGGGCGGGGGCGGGGGAACACGGGCACCGGGAGGACATCGGCACGAGCCCCGGGGGGACAGCAGCACCAGGGACACACCGGCCCAAACACCGGCGGCACACCGGCATCGAGGGGGACATCGGCATCAGCACCGGGGTGGCACCGGCCCCGGGCACACGCGGTACCTTGAGGGCAGCGACCAGCAGCCGGTGTGCGAAGCTCTGCTGCTCCTGCTTCTCCCTGCGAGCCTTCGCCGCCGGCTTCGCCTTCCGCGGCTCCTCCGGCTTGGCGTGCCCGTTCGCCCTGGGCCCTGMGGGAGCAGAGGGGCAGAGGATCTCGTTCAGCTCCGCTCCGCTCCATGCCGACCGGCGTCCCGCTGTCCGCACAGTACTCACCGTGCTGSGGGGCGGCGGGCATCTCCTTCGGAGCGGCGCGGCGCAGCGCGGTCGCCAGCAGCAGGACGAGGAGGATGAGGACGAGGAGGGCGGCCGGCAGCCCCGGCCCGCCCAGCGCCACCGCTGCCTCCATGTTCCCGCCGCCGCGTCAGCRACCGGCACCCGGAGCGGGGGAAATGTCCTTGTGCGCACGCGTGGCCCCGGCAGGGCGGCCCCTCGCTGTAATACTGCACCCCCGCTCCGTTCCGCCGGGCCTCCCTTCCAGACACCGACTGCGCCGATTCAGCMAGCACTTCCCAGCCCTGTCAGCTTCCCAACCGCTGTTCTCAACCCCACAGCCCTTGCCTCCCGCTAAACCCCGTCGACCCCCCAGACCCTCTTTTAACACACCCTCCCCAGCCCCGGCTCTCGCACTCCCCCAGCACCTGACACCCCCAGCTCCTGCCTCCCACCCAGCCCGGGCTCCCCTCATCCCACCCCCAACTTCCACGTTCCCCCCTACCGCGGTCGCTGCCGCCCCGGCCATCACCCCTGCTAGCTCTTAACCCTCACTCCCTGCCCCCACCAGCCCCTACCCGCATCCCCCACCAGACCCGGCTCCCTTCACGCCCCCACCACAGCACCGGCTTATTCCCCCCACTCCTGCTCACACTCGCCCCGCAACACCGGTTTCCCTCATCCTTCCCCAGCCCCTGGCCCCGCTTCCAGCCCCAGCTCTCACCCCCCATGAAGCCCCGGTCCCCCTCCGCCCTTCCCGGCCGCGCCCAGAGAGCAGCCCCGGGGCTGAAGAACCACGCGTGGTCTGTCACACAGCAAGTCCTTTATCGCGGGGGTGCAAGGGGAACAGCCCTCGAGCAGCCCCGGCTCCCACGCCGGTGGCCACGGGGCCCTGCGCAGCCCCCGAACCGCTCTCCGGGGCGGTCACGAGGGGGAAGAGGAGCCGCGGCCTCCTGGCGCCGCCACCGCCCGCGCCGCCTGCTCGGGAACACGGGCCGGGTCGCTGAGGATGGAGGTGGAGATGCTCAGCTGCCGCAGGGAGCTCAGGACGGCTGCGGGGACAGGGGACAGGGACTAGAAAGCGTGACCCATCCTGGGGAAGACAGCGCTGCCCGGCCCTCCTTCAGGCCCCCGAACCGTTGGGCAGATCCCTGCCACAGCCCCACCGCGATGAAGGGAAACCCATCCTATGGGGCTTTAGGGAGGGCTGAGCCTGCCCTGCTAGGGCACGGGGTTAGGGCACAGCTGGCTCAGCTGAGGTGTAGGTGTGACAGGGGCACGGGAAAGGAATCAGCACGAGCTCCAGGACATCCCACAGATCAACCCTGCCATCCCCCAGGACATCCCTGTCATTTTCCCCTCCTTTCCCTTAGTCCATGCCAACCCAACTTGCTCAGGGTGCCACAGCCAGGCACAGGTTCACCTACTCGGCCGAAGCGCTGGGAGGGAGCAGTGCTGGTCCAGCCAGGCAAGGGATGTCTGGGTGAGGCTCTCCATGCTGGCTGTGGACACCATGCCATTAAAAGATTCAAAGAGGGGCCGGATGATGATACTGAACTAGTGGGAGCAGAGGAGTTAAGGACCACCTTTGCCATGATCATGGTTTTCCACCTCCCAGATGTGGGCATCACCCTCCTATGGCAGCAGGACAGACTTTCTTGTGGAGCAGAACTGCTGGGGCAGCAGGACAGGCCATGGAACAGACTTGCTGAGTKCCTTCCCAGCATAGCACCACAGTTGGCACTAGCCCAAACTGGGCTGATGGCATGAGTGTCACCTGGGTAGGCAGTGACAGAGCTGCAAAACCCCTGTCATGGCTGGGGTTGCCAGAAAAGGTTGCTGAAACACAAGACATCTCTTCCAGAGCAGGTCAGGAAATCAGCTAGCAAAATGCTCAGGGGCAGGGACAGGGTACCAAGGTGTCCAGTAAGCACCCCTGGTGCTCCCAGGCTGCAAGGACCAAGGACTGGTGATTTGGTGCAGGCAGTAATCCTCCACCACGAGCATGTCCTGGAACACATGTTGGCTGTACAATACCCCATGTCCTGAGGAAGGMGCTCCCCAGCTCTGCATCAGGAGTCACCTCTGCCTTGCCCAGATGTCCTGTGCTGGATGGGACCATGGGAAGCAATGCCTTTCATCCTACCACTTGGATTTCAGACTTCACAGGCTTTGCCAGTGAGTCCCGGTGTGTTTACAGAGGACTAGATCCAGCCCTTTGCCCACAGATTCCTTGGCCCTGGATCCTCTCCATCCCTGTGTTCCCAGGGTATGCCACACAACCACCAAGACTAAGTCATCATGTCCCCAGCTTTGTGTCTGGATATTTCCTAATCCATGGCTGCTGCCTCTCAGAGCCAGTTCCCATGTCACCAGCAGTAATTCCATGCATAAGCTTAGCTCTACTTCCCTTCTCCCTGAGGACCATTTATCCAACTGTTTTTGATCCCTTGTAGCAGAATATGCCTCTTAACCACAGCACCTYGGCACGTTCCTGCCATATGTCCTTGGCTGGGAAACATCTCCCTGTGGTCCCCAAAGTCTCTCGAACTGGAGGGATGCCACAGACCCAGCAGCAGCAGATGAACCAGAGCACCTGGTGTCTGGTGGAGGGTCAGAGGGAGCAGCAGGCACTGACTCCAAAGGATACAATCCAGAACTTCCAGTTCTGCAGTGTGGAGGAGCGGACGTACTCATCAAACATGCTGCGCATGTGGTCGAAGCGCTGGCGTGTGATGGGCACTCCTGTGGCTGGCAGCTGYTCCTGGCACAGGCTGTGGGGCACAACCAGTGTTGTGGGGCCATGTTCAGGAGGCTGAGAGTCACAGAGGCTCAGCAGGAACTGCCAGCCAATGTCCCCCTCCCAGGACAGGCGTGGGACACTTTTTAAGTGACATGGTGGCRACTTGGCCACCACTCTGTCCTGCCTCTTGAGCATCAGCTCTCTCCCAGAGAGGGTTTGAGTCAGTCAGCTGGGAGGTGCTCCAGGGAGACCTGCCATGTCCTGCTGCTGTCCTGGCACTGCCACTTGCCCTGCCTGTCTACCCCAAAGCAGGCAGTGCTCCCCCATCTCCCCCAGCCATGCCCCTCTTACTTGATGGAGCCATTGAGCTCCTCAATCTGCTCCCGCAGATGCTGTGCCTCATCCTGCAGAGCCGCCCGCTCCTGCTGCAGCTTGCAGATGTATTCGGCTGTCTTCTGCAGGGTGGTGGCCTTGCTGACCTGAGGGGCCATGGGGTGAGAGGGGAAGGCAATCCAGACCACCCTGACACAGCCGGGCTGTGTGCTCCAGCCTCCTGCACTGCAGGCTGGSGTGCAGGAGAGGAGCTCTGTGCTGTGGATCACAGCAGGGGTGCCGCATCTCTGGGTGACAAACTCTATCSTTCCGTGCCCAGGGCTGGCCCTGTGTGCTCACCTTGATGCTGGGCTGAGCATTCARTGTGCTCACCAGGCTGTGCAGCGTGGTGAAGCCCAGCTTGATGTTGAAGCGTCTCTTCTGCTCGGCGGAGATGTGTGTGATGCGGCGGCTCTCCAGCTGCAGGTCAGCGYCATCAGGCACCTCCCAGCAGTGGGAGCAGCCATGGGCCACCAGCCCCACTGGGGACAGGCTAGCCCAAAGCTTGCAGAAGGATGGAGGGTTTCTTGGGTGGAGAAGGAAGGGGGGTACATATGGAGCTTGTAGCTCCTGCCCTACCTTGCCGGAATCAGGCCTGCCCTGACGGGACACGGGGTGATGTGAGGAGATGTTAGTGCCCAGCCCTGCAGTGGGTGCTGGGGAAGCCTGGCTGGGCTTGGGCCACTCRCTGCCTGGAAAAGGGAAGGTGTTTCTGTGGGGAGATGCATGGCAACAGCACCCATGACAAGGTGGCACCAGGGTCCCATGCTGAGGCAGAGGGGGGCATCCCATGGTGCTGCCCTCACCCTGGGACAGCCACCCCACTCAGCTGATAAGGATGCTCCACTTCAGCTTTCAACCACATTATCCCAAATCCCATTTACAACTGCTCAGAAATGGGAACTTCTGGGATTTGACATTTTAAATTGCCAGCATTTCTTGGGGTGGAAATTGCCCAGAAAGAATCCCAAGGGCAGCAAGGTTATGGTGTGCAGCACCAGACTGAACTGGGAACAACACCAGAGCCTGGTTTCCAGCAGCCGTGCTGGTTTCTGTGGGTGAAAGCGGATGCTTCTTKCTCCAAAACCAAGCTCTGGAGTTTCAAAACCACAGTCCGACATTTTGCTCCATTTTTGTCTTTTCCTATTTCTGCTTTTGCTGCTGGAGAAAGAGGCAGGTGAAGAGGCACAGAAAGAACTCTCTGTGCTCAGCTGGGTAAATGGAAATAGCCAGGATTGAAGCCAAAATGAAAATTCCCACAATGTTTGRTCCAAACTCTCTGCAGGAACCACAGTGCCCTGTGGAGCTTCTTGRGGTGCTCCAGACTCACCACAGGCCAAGGTGGGGGACAGCTGCTCCGCCTTGGGGACTCGCAGGGGGCCTGGCTGTGTTCCTGTTGTGTGCAGCACCAGTTGGGAAGGGCCCGAGTCAGGAGCCAGTCCCGGGCTCACCTGGGCCGTTCTGGAGAGGAGGGTGGCAGGGACTTTGGGGACAGCGCTCTGCTGCTGGGAGAAGGCAGAGGGAAGGGAAGTTGGGGGATTGGCACCCCTTGCACACCAGGTTGGCCATTGCCCAAGCACTGGCAGCCAAACCCYCATGAGGAAATGGGGAAGGGGGACAAGCAGCCCCATCCCACCATCTGCAGGGGCAGCCTCAGCCCCAGGGCCCCTGCATGCAGGATGTCTCTCACCTCTGCCCTGRTTCTTTTACAGGAGAAGAAACTGAGGCAACTCCTGCCACCTCCACCCTCATGCCCCCTCCTTCCCCCCCATGTCTGTTCAGCCCACAGYGAAGTGTGACCTTCAGAGCCCATCTCTGCCTCTTCCCCAGCAGCCAGGAGAAGGCAATTCTCAACCTGGGGGGTTGGTGAGTGCTTACCGGGGAGACAGGAGCYGTGGGCATGAGTCCTTCACCCATCGGGCAAGGGGTATCCAGGGCCAGGTCCTGCTTGGCTGAGGGGACAGGGAGAATGGGGCTGTTTGGGCTGGGGTGATTTTCCCTGCCCCAGGGGACAGCCAGACCCTTTTTGTACCAGAACTGCTGCAGCCCCTTCCCTGCTGGATTGCCCCAGAGAATAGGGATGCACCTCTGGAGGAGGTGCCTGTTCTCTTGACGACAGCAATGTTCTCAGGAGCCTTGTGCGGGCAGGKACCCCCAGCACCTCCTTCACCAAGCAGAAAAACACGACAGAGCCCAAGGGACCTGTCCTGTCACACCCATGGGCAGCGTATCTGGCAGAACACCAGTGACCACCCAGCTGTGCCAACAGGGATGTGGAGACCAGACTGGGGACAGGAATTTTGCAGCAGTGCCCGTAGCAAAGTCCTGGGGCTGGACCTTATCTCCCTCTGAGGCCGCTGAAGCCAAGGCAATCCCCCAGGCTTGGCTTCAGCTCAGGGTTTGGAATTAACCCACTGTAGGGACTGCCATGTGCCCAGTGTTTGCAACATCCCAACCCCAGGGAGAAATGGGGTCCCCATCCTGATCCCCACAATAGCATGYCCCCCACCTCACCCTTGTGTCCTCTCACAGCCCCCCAACCCTRTTACCTGTGGTCAGCAGCTGGCTCAGGCAGGAGTTGGGCTCAAGCAGGTGKGACAGGGGGGTTCCTGGCAGCCTCCTTGTCTTGGTGCCACAGGGCTTTGTCTTGGGCCGCCCACCCCCGGCCTGGGGCAGYTCCTTGCTGGGGGCAAACCTGGGGTTGCCCAGGAGGGCGGGGGGCAGGAGCTGGGAGGCAGCAGGGCTGGGGTGCCCCTGGGGCACCATGCCTGTGGCATAGCCCAGCCCTGGGACATAGGGRGTGAAGCAAGGGCTTGAGAGAGGGGAGGCAGGGTGGGTGACAAGCAAGGGATCAGGTGGGCTGGCATAGGGGAACTTGGAGTGAGGGGCTGAGGGAGGGGAGAATGGGGGTTCTGGGCTCAGCAGTGGTGCCCGGGGAGATGGGATGGGTGGGACATAGAGGGGTGCTGATGGCTCCAGGCTGAGGCCGTTGCCAGGGAGGTCGTACTGCAGTGCGGGCTTGTGTCGGAGCTGGGGGCTGAGGCTGCTGGGTGCCGTGTTGGGGGGCTCAGGGGGCAGGGGGGCCAGGGGCAGCTCAGAGCCCAGGAAGGCACTGTGGAGGCTGAGCTGGGAGGTACCACTGGGCTGTGGAAGATATGGTAGGGTCAGGGACAGGTGACTGGCACAACAGTAATCTGCAGGCTGCAGGCTGGGATCCCACTTACCTGGAGGAGGGTGCCAGGTAGGAGTGGGGCCTCAGGGCTCACAGACAGACCCTGAACACCCATCAGGGATGCCCCACTGCTGAATGGGGGCTCGGCCATAGGCAAGAAGCAGGATGGGTCGTGGTAGCCCAGTTGTGTCTGTGATGGGGGTAGCCGGTGGCCGGTGAGGATTTCTGCAGGACGAAGTGGAGACACAGTGACCGGCATAAGCGGGCCTGCCTGGAGAGGAGGAGGACACCCTGGGGCATGAGGAGTGGAGTTGTACTCTGTTATGGCACTCTTTACTTTTTGGGGCCAGGGCCAGCACCCAGGCCCAGCCTTGCCATATGCAAGGGGGCAGGAAAACCCATGTGGAATGCCACCCAAGGGTGGGGATCCCATCCCTAAAACCCAGCTGGGCTGCATGTGGTCCAGCTCCAGAGCTGTTCCCAGGGGTGTTCWTTGCTGTAGCAGCCTCAGGCTGGGGCAGGGACTATGACACCGGGGCCTGGGGGCCAACCACAGCAGGGGACCAGATGATCAGGTCACGGCATCCCCAAGCCAGAGGGATGGTTGTCTGGAGTGGTGACAAGTTCTGTGCTGCCCACCTCAGCACACTGCTTTGCGTGCAGCCTGCGGCTAACCACATCCCATGGCCTTCCTGAAGCTGAGCCGCGTGACCCTGCCACGACTCCCGCTCCCTTCCTCTCTCCTTCCCACAACCCTGTTCCTTCCGCAGGCCCAGACACCATGGCACAAAGGGCTGGCCCCACAGCCATCTCCCTGAGCACATCAGCCCTATGCATGCCTTGGCTCAGTGCCTGTGTCAGTGCTGGCTCTGGCATCGCCACAGGGAAGGTTTTTCATGCAGAGGATGACTGTGGGGCAGGGATGGCACTGCTGGATGTTCCCTGKAGGATGGAGCAGGAAAGTTCACTGGGTTTGCTGCCTGGCAGCCCCTGGCACAGGCTCAGTGTCTGAGCAGCCACTGGGGACAGGCACTCACATCCCCCCTTGGGGAGCACCCAGCTGTGCTCTCCAGCCCTCGCCAGGCATTAACAGTGCCAACTCCAGACCCTGCTGCCAGCTCTGCCTGCCTGGTATGTGCAGCCATGCTCGGGGCACTGCCTGTGATCCAGGCATCAGCACCCAGGGTGCCCTGGCTGGGACCCACAAAGGCCTGAGAATCTACACCAAAGGAGCAAGCATGCCAGCACTCTGGGATGCCACGGRACTGTGCACAGTGAGATTCCAGCATACCGTGTGCTGAAGGGAACACTGATGTGAGACAGGACAGAGCCACTGCTGAGCTGTCCCASTCAGCCCTCAGACTGTCCCTTCCCCCTGCCATAGCCATAATGAATCCCTGGCAGCATGACAGAGCCATCCCTGCCCCTCTACAGGCTAGCATCCCACATGTGCTGCAGTGCTGCCAGGCAGGAGCTTGGCCTCCCGGGATGCAGTCCAGCAGCACGTTGCCCCCACCTCAGCCATGCCCTCACCAGGATGTCTCTGCCACCGACACCAAAGCTCTGCAGGTATTTATAGGCATTTGTCATGCCCAGCTTGTCAGATTTGATTCCTCTTGTGCCTCTTGCTGTGCTACAGGGATGGAAGGTGGCTGGCAGTCCCTGGGAGCCCTGTCCTCCCTTTCTTCTGCCCCTTCCTCAACCGGATCTCTTGCCAGTCTTCCTCCACTGCTATATTAAGTTGTTTTGCTCCAGACAGCGTGGCATGGCCAGGGCACAGCCCTGCTCAAGGGAGAAGAGTCTGTGTGCTCAGCAAACCCCACCTTTGGCATCCTGCTCAAACCTGGGGATGTGCTCCAATGGAATTGGGCCTTCCCAACCCAAGGACCCTCCAGCACTAGTCCCAGGCTTTGGGGAGAGCCCTGCAGTGCACCAGAGCATTGCCACCCTGTGGGATAGACAGCCTAGCCCCAGTACCCAGCACAGATCCTACCTGGAGAACGGTGCCAGCAGGGCACAGGGCCAGGCTGCTCCCTTGCCTCTGCCATCAGGACTTCTCCATCTGCCTCACATCACACTCCAGCACCCGCTGCAGACACGAGTTGCTTCCTCATTTGGGGATTGGTTTGCAGGCACTGACTGACAGGCGCTGAGCTCTGCCACGCCACCCRTAGTGACAGCCCTGTGTCCCCATGGTGCCCACCCTCCAAGCCTGCCCTGCATAGCTCTGCGCGAGGCTGCTGGGCAATCCTTGCTCCCAAGCCACAAAAAGCCTGCTCTGCTGGAAAAGTGGCCTTTTGGGACATAATTGGGTTGACTGGCACCCAGCAACCCCAATCTCCTCTCCACGCAGTTCCATGGGCACATGGCACACTCAGCACTCAGATGGAACACCTTATCATCCAGGGAGCTGTTCCATCCAGGAAAAAACTCCCACACACAGGTCTACAAGCACCTCACGGGATGCTGCTGCYCTCCCCAGCTCCAGCTGTGTCCTTGCACCTTACAGCAACTGATGCCCACTTGGGGCATCAGGGGACAGAAGATGAAGCACCAGCCATGGCAACAGACCCTCTTCCCAGTACGACTTGCCCTGGTCTGTTTGGAATGAGTTGAGAGGGTGCTGGCAGGARCCTTCCCACCTTATCCATCCCTAGRGCATCCATGCCACTGCCTGCCCTGGCACATGGAGTGCCCAGCTTGCTCCCCGCAGGCATCTGGTCTTGCAACACCCCGCAGCTGTATGGCGCAAGTACCCTTTTTTCCTCCTCCTGGAGGAAGTGGAGACACACCATGGAGCTCCAGAGTGCTCACAGAGGGGTCTGAAGATGCTGGTGCTGCCCAAGGCTACCAGCAAACTGGGTCGCTGGGTTGCCACAAGCCCCTACCAGCTCCCACCCTGTACAGTGTGCCCAGGCCACCGCTCTGGCATGTTCGAGGGCAAAGCTGGTCCCCAAAAATGCCTTGCCCTGGCATATGGGGACATGTCCCAGCTGACTGTATGGATGCTTATTGCTCAGAGCCTGCATGGCAACATGGGGGAGTTTGCCACTGCCCACTTCCCAKCATTTCCTTGGCAGCCCGCGGCCCCAGCTGGACACCCGTGCCAGGTTTGTTTCTGGGCAGCCTGGCAGGGATGGTGACTTGTCCTCCGGGGATGTAGTATAGGCTGGCTGGGCAGTGGAAAGAGGAGGGGACACAGCAGAACCTACTCTGTAGAGATATCCTCTTCCTCTGAGGGACAATTTTCCTTCCTCTGTCTGTAGCCAAAATGAAGGGCTTTGGCACTGCTGGAAATACCCTCTTTTTGTCAAAATCCCCTCCCACAGCTCCTGGCCAAGACTTTCCTGAGCCTCCGTGGCCTCTGCCCCCGCCAAGCCTCTGCCCTCAGCCCCTGCCCATCCATGCTGCTATTGTGTGTTCAGTGCTTTCTGCCTGCCTCAGCAGCTCCCACTGCTGCCAGGTCCAATGTGTGACCCCCCCCCCCACTTTGGGAAGTCACGGAGTGCAGTGCTGTGTGGGATGTGGTACCATATCTAGGCTACCTCTTACCTGATATGTCCATGTCATCCAGGCTGGGCTGCAGGGGTGCCAAATCCGGCTGTATCATGTCGGCATTCCCAACATATGCTGGAAGAGGGCAGAGCTGGAACATGAAGGCTCAGCCACTGCATCCCCCAAGACCCACCCTGAGGGCTGCTCCCACCATTGCCCTGACACTTGCCTGGCTGCCACCCCTCCGTGTCACCCCAGAGTTGCYCTGTGTCACTGGACCATGCCCTGGGCAGAGAGATGAGTGCCCACCCTGTGGAGAGCCAGGGCTATTCCATCCCACTACTCTGTCCATCAGCACCTCTAGGGCCTCCAGTGCCCAGGAACCTCAGTGAAAGGCTGATCCTTGGCACGGAGCCTGGCTGGAGCTGCAGATAGCCCCAGGGACATGGCAAGGTAGGGACAAAGGTGGCCATGGAAGCAGKACCTGCTCTGGGGGCTGGGGCAAAGTCCTTCAATGGTGCCAGTGGTCCCTGGGGAGAAGGGGATGGTCCCACTCTGCCCAAGCACTCCTTAAGCATCTTCTCCTCTGACGGCTCTTGTTTGAGCAGGAAAGGAACATCCCTTCCCCATTCCCCAGCAGGGCAGATACCAGGGGACCCTGCCTGCCCAAAAKGACACAGCTGGCAGCTCTCATGGGCCAAGCCAAGAGGCAGCACTTGTATTCCTCCTCCACATCCTGCTGGAGCATGGTCTGGGGCACCTACCCTCCTCGGGGAGTGACTGGTGGGTGCTGGGCATCTGTGTCATGGTGAAGAGGGTGTCRGATATGTCCGAGAGGAAGGTGTCCAAGTCGAAGTGCTGCCTGCTCCCGGGCTCCTCCTCCTCATCCCCAAGCAGCATGGGCACTACGTTGCAGAAGAGCTGGTTGCACCATTTCTCTGTTGGCCTCCAGACTTCCTCGTCCTGCATGAGGTGGACCAAAGGAGCCGAGTGGACACTTCTCATGGGTAGGGTCCACATCTGGCTTTCTGGCTGCTCCCTCTGGCAGCTCCCATGTTCCCTGCAGTGTTTACTTTCTCCAGACCTTAAAGCCTGGCACATTGAAGCTTCCAGAGGGTGAATCTAGGATCCCAAATGCTTGGCATTCCATTCCAATSGGCTTATCGTGCCCTGGGGCTTTTCTCTGCCCTTCTGTCCAGTGCAGAAGTCCAAATTGTGCACCTCTTTCTCCCACTGCCCACCCTTTCTCAGCAGACTCACCTGCTTTGCACTGGAGATCTCTCCATCCCGGATGGACTTTCGGAGCTGGAAGGAGAAGACAGCCTGTGTCACCCCCCAGGCAGGTGGGCATGGTCTGGGGCAGAGCAAAGGGGACAGTGCTCAGGGGGCAGCCAGCATCCTTCCTATGCTGGCAAGAGCCTATCACATCCCAGCCTGTCAGCCATGGCTCCAGGTTGGGCACTTTAGTGTCCCATCCCACCGCTGGCACTGCCACAGGATGAGGAGGAGCACAGGCAGAGCCACTCACCCGCTTCTTATAGTAGATCCTCCACTTGTGGTACTCCCTCATCACAACCTCGATGCGGCGTTTCCAGTAGTTGCCCTCCAGCACAACAGCCTGGGGGCAGGACAGGGGGTCATGGCTGAGCTCCCCAGCCCCAGCACCCCACAGCCAAGGCTGCTTTCCTTGTGCCATAGCAGAAATACCTTTTCCAGCTAATCTGCGGAATGCAATGTGTCCCCAGTTCCCCACTATGCCATACAGATCCTGCCCTACCTCTGGTTTTCGGTGCTCATCAGCCTCCACTCCCTCCAGAGGGGTGATGAAGCCACACACAGGGTTTTTCCTCCGCTCCACATCTGCACAGGGAAGAACACATCTGGCTGTATCCATGCCCCATCTCTATCTCTGCACCTATACATGGTGCCAGCCCCATCCCACTGGCACAGCCTGGCATCTGGCAGACAGAGTGARGTCTGGCTTATACTCACACTGAATGTACCATGCTCTCCAGATTGCATTRTTGAGTCGAATTTTTTCCCAGCAAAGCAGCCGCAGCCCCTTGAAATTCTTCCACTTTGGAGACACTAGCTTCCCACTGAAACACCAAGCAAAGGGAAGGCTGAGGAGCACCACCTTAAAAGATGCCCAGGTGCCACCAGCCTGGTGACAAGTCAGGAGCAGGAACAGCCACGTGGCTCSGCTGCAGGCACTTGCCAGGCACCTGGGAGCATCCACAGGAACATCCCAAGCTCCTGCACACCCTGGGAGCACCACAGACYTAAACCCTGAGCTTCCCAGACCCACAGGAGGCTTCTCAAACCCCTGTGTTAAAGCGCAGCACACTGAGGAATTGATTCCTTGAAATTTAAACCCCAGCTCCAAGGGGGGCTCCTGCTGCCCCTGACCAAGCCAGCTGTGTCCTGGCCCTGGGGGACAGGAWGGTAAGTGTCCTTCCCAGGTGAGATGCTCCAGGGACATGTGCTGTGGTGGCTCTTGCCTCATCACAGTGTTTGGGCACTTTTACACCAGGCCAGGCTTAGAAATGTTGCCTTCAGCTGGGACAGTCAGGGCAGCCATTCTGGCGGGTCTGGGAAGGCAGGACAACACTGGAGGATGCTAAGGACATTAAGGGACACTTGCCTGTGCCCTAAGACAGACAGAAAGCAAGACAAGTCCTGGTCTCAGCCCGAGCTTCCCTGGCCTCTTCTCTGCACCCATCCCTGCAAACCTGCCCCCCTGCCCTCAGCCCGAGCTGGGCTCCCTGCTTCTCATTTCTTCATTCCTAGAAGCAGTGTGTTCRTTCTGCAGCTCATCATAGTGGTGGTGACATCCCTGGTGGGACCTGCAGTGCAGGAAGCCTCATTTCACTCCTTGTCTTATTTCCATCCAGTGGAGGGACACAACCCCTCACGTGCAACAACCGAGGAGGTCGTGAGGGTCCTGCTGCCCMAGGAGTTCTGCAGGGAGTCCAGGGTTTCTCTGCCTTACTTTGGGGTCCATTTGACCTCTCCATCTCTCTCAGCAACATGGCRTGGCCTTGAGACAATGCCAGCTGCTCCAGAGGTCCCTTCTAGAGTCGGCTGCAGGGCATCCCTGACTGGGAAGCCACGTTCCTCTCCTACAGAGAATTTATACCCAAAGATATTGGTGCTGCTTTGACTCCCACTTTTCCTTGACACATGCAGGGAGCAGGAAAGGTGGATCTCTAATCCCCTGTTCCCAGCCTCTCTAGGTGCCACCAGACTCTGTCCCCAGGGAGGTGCTKAGGATTAGGGTGGTGTATGAAAYCTCTGACTTGTTCATTCRAGCTTGTGAAACCTCYAAGCACTCTCAGATAATTATTTTGGTGAGTTCTGATTTGGCCTGGCTYAAAATCTGCCTCTGGCAGAGGTGGAGGACGGGACCCCCACAATTCCAAAACCTATGCAGGAATGTGTGTGGGAGCAGGTGCAGAAGTGGATGGGGATGGTCTCCCCAGGGAGGCCCAGCCTGACACATGGCTCCAGGGGCTGGGGAAGGACCTGTGGCTCCAGCTTGCAGAGAGTTAAGGACTCAGCTACACACAGACTACTCTGCTATCACCAGGATTTTGAACTTTCCCCAGGCACACAAGGCAAACAGCAAGATGGTGCCAAGTGGAGGAGCCAATGGAAGGGACGGGATTCCTGGGAACATGGCCAGATCCTGCTGGTCAAGGCTATGCTCCTCACTCACAGCCAACTGAGAGGAGCAGCCCGAGCCTGTGGGACAGAGGCAGACACCTTGGCCACACTTGAGGGCTGTGGCTACCAAGTTGCTGTGAGGCCTGGAGGCAGCAGGGAGATGCCTTTGGGCTTTACCAACAAATGCCTTTTTCCCCCTTAACGATCTTTTCAGATTTGGGGCTTATCAGGCTGATCTTTGCTCCCTGCTTTGCTTTGAAAAGTGCCCCACCTTTCTCTCTGAAGTTATCTCTCCTGGGGAGATGGGTGCAAACCCCACATTCAACTGTGGGAAGGGTATAGGGTGCCCCAAAAAGATTAAGGGTCCTACTACCCTACACTGTYGGAGGGAGTGGGACACAGATCCTGCCACTGGCTACAGGCTTTTTGTGGTATGAGATGAGGTGGGAGCAGGGCTCAGCYTGGGTCCAACATTGGCATGGATCCAGCAGCACCTTGTTTGCTCTGTGACTCGTTTTCCCATGCAGCAGTTTCAGGTGTTGCAGTTCCTGATTTCATGGCAACATGGTATTTTCCTCTTCATCATCAGCAAGAACAGGGAGAAAGAAAGGAGTGTTCTGGAAAGATGCAAGGCTGCACAAAGAGAATGCAGCAGGAGGGGAAYAGCTGAGCCAAGGGTCCCTTGGCAGGATAACCCTCATCATCCTTTCCAAGGAGCAGCATCCCTGTGGGGCCATCAGAACCTCCCTTGCTTCCTGGGTTGTGGGACATGGCTGGCAAAAGGARGACAGTGTTCCCTGCAAGTCCTGAACACTCATCTTCCATTTCTCACAAATTTAWCTACCAAAACCATGCCTTTTGCCTYRGCTGTRCTGGCTACCAGTAAACTGGGATGATCCTACCCACAACCTGGGATATGGTGACAGGTCAGATGGACACAGCTTTGTGGAAACTGGTACCCTTGGAGTGCTGTCCCTGTGCCCAGCATCTCTAGGGATGTCCTGGCAGTGGCCGTGTTCCCTATTGCATTGAGCACTCAAGGACTCCAAGGCAAACCTAAGAGCTCAGCCACTGAATGAGATCCTGRATGAGAAACAAGGCAATGGGCACCTCTTCAAGGATACTTTGCTGAGGTTTTGTTATCACATAGCATTAGCAGGACAACATCATTCAAGGTTTTCACATCTGGACATTTTGGGAAAGCTATGCAAGCAGCTCGGCACTGCCTCCAGCAGACCAAGTCACGCTGGTGCCATGCTGGAGAGAATTCAAAATCTTGGAGCTTGACAAAGGAGGGGAGCTGCCTCCAAAAATGTGGACCATGGTAGTAGGACACATGATGCAGTCTGTCCTGCTGTCACCAAAGAGCTGTCATTGGCCTTGGGCAATTTGTGTGCCAGGGGAACAATGCAGTTTGATTTTGCCAGAGAGAAGGAGGAAAGCTTTCAGGAGACCTTGGACAAAACGTGTGCAGCCATCCAGTCCCAAGGGATGTCAGGACATGTGGACAGAGTCAAGGACAGAAGGCAGGACTCCTGCTTTGGGTTGGATTGCCAAAGAACTGTTAGCTGTCCACAGGGTCACTGTTGCTCTATGGAGTGCACTAGGTCTGGCCAGGAGGGAATTGCAGCTGGGCACACTGACAGCAGATCTCATGGGAAAATGGAGGAGAGTCAACCTATACATGAAAAGAGTAGAAACTTCTCACCTGGCTCCACAGYCAGTAACCCAACATCAGGTCTTTCTCCCTGAAACTTTCCAGGATGGTGACTGCTGAGCATGTGGCACATCACASCCCATGGAGAAGAGGAGGAGGAGGAGGATGTCAGATGGAAACAAATTCCTGACTGGGCAACAGGGCTCAGCTGGCCTCCTGCCTTCAGCTAGCTAGGGGTCCATAAGACACATGCAAGGGCTCTGGGACTCACCTGTACTCCAGGCTCATGCACTCAAAGAGCCGGGTGAGGGTCGGGTCGATGCTCCTGGGATCAGCCGGCTCGGGCTCAGCACGGTGGTGCCGTCGCCGGGGCAGTGAGTCGCTGTGCGGGGAYGACACCATGAAGTGGCCACTGTGGATGACCTGGGAGGGATTCTGTGCCCCAGTGCTGGGTCCTGTGCCACCCATGGCTGCRTCCTCTGAGTCGGAGTCAGAGTCGGAGACGGGGCAAGTCCCAACTGGAGACTCCAGGAAAGGTCCTGGGAGCCCCACCTGAGCTCCTGCCATTCCCAGTGCCTACTGGAGAGCCCTTATGGATCTGACCCAGTGCTGTGATCCACATCCCGGTTGAGCTGAAGCCCTACAGGCACTGCGCTGGCATCGAGCACGTGCTGTTGGGCTCCCCAGTGCAGGACACAGGCACCACACCTCCTTCTGGCACCTCCTCCACCCAGCTCACACTGTCTSTTCCACGCTCCAGGGTTCAGCAGTTGGTTTGTGAGGGCGGATTCACTGCCAGCCCTATTTATATTGCTGGTGGCTGATCCCGCCCATGGCACACCRTCAGCAGGACGTGTCCAATGGCCACCAGGCACTGGGCACTGGTCACCAGAACTTCAGCTCCATGCCACCGTCCTGCTCCAGCAGTGTCCCTGACAACCCCAGCTTCTACGTCTCCCACACATCTGCAGAGGAGCMCTGCAGGTCCTCTATCCCCTCTTGCTGGTGGCCAAGGGTTGGCTGGCAGTCGGCTCTGTTTACCCGGAGTTAATCGCTTATCCCGGGTGCTGGTGGAGTGAGGAGCAGGCAGTATTTACCCAGTGCCTCTGCTTTAATGGATCTCCCCGCACTTTCAAGGGAACAAATATAGATTAAGGGACACAAACAGGTAAAATTATAGYAACAGGCACTCAGCTCAGCACAAAGCAGGCCAAGGCGTTGAGCCAAGCACCGAGCTGAGAAACAGCTCCAGGAAAACCTTCTCCAAGGYATGACCCAGTAGGAGAGGGGATGCAAATAACAAATGTGAGAGAGAACAGCTATGGGCTTGGGTACAGTGGGATTTACACACATTGTGGTCATGCAGTCCTAAAAATCACAGAATCATCAAATCCTAGAATGGTTTGTGTTGGAAAGGACCTTAAAACTTACCTCATTTCACCCYCCTTCCACTATATCAGGCTGGAACCTTCCACTAGACCARGGACTAGACCAGGTTGTTYCAAACCCTGTCCAACCTGGCCCAGAACACTTCCAGGGATGATGCCCAGCTTCTCTGGGCAACATTTGCCAGGACCTCACCACYATCACAGCAAAGAATTTTTTCCTAATATCCAATCTAAATCCACCCTGGATTGCCTTCACCTCTRAGGTGTCCTTAGAGATGCAGACRGACAGGGCTTGATTCACCAACCTCSTCYCCTGCTCCAAGACAGTGGATTGTGGATAAATACAGKATTTGGCATGTGCCATCCCAGCCAGACCTGTGTCACAAGCATCTGCTCACTAACCTGAGCCACAGAGGGACACAGCAGATACAATTTCAGACTTAAATTACATTTTTTTCTCTATAGTTTCTAACAAATTCCTCCCCTGCCCCACATCCTGGCAGGAGCACACATGCCTGGAGAGCACCCAGGCACAGATTTCTCACTATAAGCAGTTCTCTGAAAACATCAGCAGAAGGTTCAGGAGTAATTGAAAGGCTCCAGAAATTGCAAGGRAAATATCCCTTGCTCCTGYATAAAGCGGAGTGCTCACGAGTGCRTGTGGCTTTGSTACCYGGCTCAGAAAAGATGGAGAAAAACTGAAAAAGGTCACAGAGATGAAGAAAATGGGTGGTCRGAAGTGGAAATGCCATCCCTGCAAGAAAAGGCTGAATAGATCACGATCTATGCTATCTAAGAAAAAGGTGAATGAGGTGACAGGCACTGGGGATGTAGACATGGATGCAGTAGGAACAGGGAATGGTTGGAGATGTTTGTTCAGCACTTTTCCAAGCTGGAGTTTGCGATGGAGGATCTCCAGGGGATCTCCCTTTCAAACCCTGACTRTTCTGTGRTTCTGCATTTCTCGGGGCACCAGGCAAAGGAATGGCTGTCGTGTTCATCTCAGGATGCTGTGAAACCAAAAGTCTAATTGGACTCAATAAGGAATTAGATAAACTTAYATTGCACTGGAACTATTAAAATTCTTTGTGTGTCCAAAGCAAAGCTGACTGATGGGAACCCAGGGCACAGGTACAAGTTCATCCGTGGCCTCCCGTTGCTAAGGAGAGAGCAAGAGAGTCCTGAGGATACACAGCAGCCCTGGCGCTTGTAGGAAAAGTGAGGCATCACTTCAAAATTCACAGATTGGTTTCAGATGGAATGGACCTTAAAAATATTTAATTCCAACCCTACTGCTGTGGGCAAGGACACCTTCCACTAGGTGAGGTTGCTCCAAGCCCTGTCCAACCTGCCCTGGAACACTTCCAGTGATGGGGCAGCCACAGCTTCTCTGGGCAACCYATGCCAGGCCTCACCACCCTCACTGGGAAGAATTTCCTCCCAATATCCCATCCATCCCTGCCCTCTGGCAATGGGAAACCATTCCCTGTGTCCTGTCACTCCAAGCCCTTGTCCCCAGTCCCTCTCCAGCTCTCCTGGAGCCCTGGAAGGGACTCTTAAGTTCCCTTTAGGCCCTGGAAGGGACTCGTAAGTTCTCACCAGAGCTTTATCTTCTCCAGGTGAGCACCCCCAGCTCTCGCAGCCTGCCCCCAGAGCAGAGTGGTCCTCAGAGCATCTCAGTGGCCCCCTCTGGACTTGCTCCAACAGCTCCACATCTCTCCTGTGCTCAGGACCCCAGAGCTGGAGRCAGYACTGCAGGTAGGGTCTCACAAGGGCAGATGGGGACAGTCTCCTCCATTTGACAAAAGTCACACTGGTTAAAGTTAATGAGGAGACATAGTACAAACAAGACTTTTCTGCAACTTGCTAAGGAGCCTCACCATGAGGATGGAATATTCAGTGGAATTGCTTTTCCTGTCATGGAAGGCAATGTGGTGCTGGGAGCCCAGCACAGGTAGGTGCTGCTGCCCCTAAGCAGCCTCTCACCCTATGGGGATGCATGGTGGGTGCCCAGCCTGAGGGGGAGGCATTAGCAGAGGGTCCCTTTAGTCATACATCTCCATGTGTATCTGAAGACAAGACAGTTAGCCCAGAAAAAAAAGCCAAAAGATTTCTAAAAACAAGAAATTCCCAAGTTTGACAGCCAAGAACTTTTGACTTAGATTATTCTGTCTTACACTGGGTTTGGTCTCTGTTCTGAGCTGGCAGACACCTACCCCTGCCTCTCACACACCTCATGACTCATTGCAAAGGGGCAGGAGGCAGTAGGAGGCAGGGAGAGAAATCCCACATTTCAAGGCAGGCATGCAGTAAAACCATGGTGTAAAAAATCGCACACGCAAGCACAGCAAAGTAATAGAAGATTTGTTTTCAATGATTTTTATTCACTAGCTCATGCTTTTGTTTTGATGAGGCAACAGCTCTCATCTCCCTGAGCCAAAGGCACTCCAGAACTCACATGCCACTGGAGGCAATTTGAATCCATAAATACYGTGGAGGTTGGAATCTGGAATGGGTGGCATCTGCAAAAGGGTTCTGCTCTCAAAGATGAGGATGTATCRTAGAATCATTAGGGTTGGAAAAGCCCTCTAACATCATCAAGTCCAACTGTTCCACCAGTACTGCCAAGGCCACCACCACTAACCCACGCCCCCAAGTGCCACATCCACATGTCTGTTAAACCCCTCCACGGATGGTGACATCAGCACTGGCCTGGGCAGGCTGTTCCAATGCTTAACCACTCTTTCAGGGAACCGATTTTTCCCAATGTACAACCTGAACCTCCCCTTGACCCCTTCAGGAAAAGTGTAAAGCCATGATTGTTGTGGGAAATGCTGCTTTGTGTGGGGGGGTTGATGGATCCATTGTGTCCATAGGTTTRACCCTGGCAGAACTGGCAGGTCCTGCTTGAAAGTGTCTGCCTGATTTGTCCTGTCGTGCTGAGTCCTGATATAAATTGATGCAAATGCTCTGATGTTCCCTCACCTGCTGACGCCTCATTGCCAGAGCTCTCTGAGCCCTTCCAGTGCTCCCTGGCTTTGTTCTTTCCTGCTGTTTCAGACCTGACTCTCTCATTCTCAAACTATACTTTTCACACATGGTCTTAAAATCACTCAAGGCATAAAAGACCTCACAAATATCACCTTGTCTGGGACTTAGCATCTGTTGGGCACACATGACCTGTGCTAATCCTGTAGCTTTTTTCTGCTAAGCCTGACTGTGTTAAGCCTCAGCCTTTGATGTGCTGCATCTCTTGGAAAGAGCAGAGAGAGATTTGGATGTGCTGTTAAAAAGCCCAGGCTCAGGAACRAGGAGTCAAGCAGAGGTTTTGGAGGGCAGGTTCTTCTCTTGCCCACCTTGGGGCTTGCRAGCTCCCAGGTCATATCCTTGTGCAAGGGGACATTGGGACACCAATGGGCTTATCTTGCTGCCCCTCAATGCAGGGGTCACCCTGTGGCAGCAAACCCCCACCTATGAGGAACATCCAGAGGGATGGATAGCAGGAGCTCGGTGGTTTTCCCACACAGAAGTCTTATAGCACTTTGGGAAACCGTTTTTTCAGTTTTAAAATAGCCAAGGCAGAATGGTGCCCCCTTCCATGCTGTAATCTCGGGGAAGTCATCATGGCCCTGGCTCAGGGAGAAGCTGAGCTGCAGTGGTGGAAACCCTCTAATGCATTAATCTTTACAGGTCTGATATAGACTTTCACAATTCACAGTTCTCTGAATATCAATTTATTTGACTAYTTAGCATCTATTAAGCCTTACATGCAAAAGGTTCAGAGTGGGAAGTTGACTGTGCACTTTAGTATTTTGAGCAAGACAGCAGAGCCCTCCTGAGCCTGTTTCTTGCCCTCAAAACAMATGGAATAAGGGGTGAGTGTTGTTAGGAAGGGCACTGTGTAACATATCCCGGCAGAGAGCTCAGAGCTGCCACAAAGCACCCAGGGGTCAGGGATGGCCCCTGGGAAATGTTGTTGACCTCAGCCCCATCCTTTGCTGATGGAGAGCACAAGGCATCTGTGTCAGAAGCCCAGCTCTGGGGCTGAAGTCTGGGCAGTTCTGCTGGGAGAGYGATGAGACAGATCTGGCTTTCACAGAGGTGTCATACCATGCTGGGAGCTGGGGACTTTTAACAAACTTTTGACAAATGATAACAACCTGTTGGTGTTATTCTCTTTGATCTCTCGATGACACTACTCTTCCTTCTAGTTCATGCTCCAGCCCTTCTGTTTGCTTTTCTCCCCTCCCTCAGTTACTTTATCGACCTGCAGCAGTTGGTACATCTCCAGGAAGATTTTAATTCCTGGGCAAATCCAATGAATTGCAGGCGATAAATGCCTCACAGCTGGGAGAGCTGAACTGCTTTATTTCTCCTCAAGAATGAGATCTTGAGGCCTCTGTGTCAT